GCTCGTAAGTGATGGAAGCAACATAGCAAACGCTTCATTGTGAAGCAGAACGTTTATCCCACGCACATGGCTGCTGTGGGTACCATGAGGAGAGGAGGAACGAGTGATGGAAGTGATTAAAGCATGGTTACCTGATGTTGATGCAAAAGCGTGCCTTCTCATTGGTTGAGCAGTGTCGTGTGACCACTTGGCCCTGTCCTTAAAGTTAGGGATATTCTGCACTGACTAACATTGATGATTATTGGTTCACACAGTTAATCAGTTTGCAAAATGAATATCTGCAAGATATGAAAACAATGAATGCTTAGAAGAAATCATATGAAACCAGTCACAATGGTAGGGAAATCACATAGACAGAATAAGGAAATCCTTCAATTGCCAACAATATTTTTCTTCGGAAATAATTCCCTTCGTACCCATCCACCTTTAATGATTAATTTTCACACTGGCCTAACGTGTGTCAAACAGTCCTGAAGAAATGCAAATCTGTCAGGTTGATGGTATCCTTCCTCAGTAAATGATCTTTAAATACAGTTGTTTTATGATCATCTGGGATAGATTACTGTTGTCCTCAATAGTGACTATTAAACTCCACACAAGAATTTTGTTTTACACGAGATACAAATCTGTTTGTTAAAATCTTTCACGACTATACCCTTCACCTTATCCCCAACACAAGGGAAGTGACTACATGACACCTGGGTTGTGCATATGCCATTTTCAGCATTTTGTCATGCACACTGCACAGAACTCTTTTGGGCATCACCACAGAAAGCCCAATAATAATGATATCTTTCTACCTAAATTTAAGTTAAAAGTTAAGCAAAAATAATTTGCTTGACATGCTTATTATGATTGACCTTAAGTATGGTTTTTTAAAATTCAGAAAGACCACTTCAGAGGAATTAGATAAAACTTCATTTGAGGATATAAGTGCTTGTATTTATCAAGCGGTAACAAATTACTCTGCATTGTCATGTGCAAACTAGCCTTCAGTTCTTTAGTTAGTAACATACAACTCTCTGTGGTCATTCTTAGTACTGCAGAATTATTGTTCATTAGGTGTAGTCTTTTCAATCTTTCTTTATAATGGCACCATCCACATCACCATGGATTGTCAACTACAAACCATTTATTTACTTATAAATCATTTTTACTTTTTTGCCAGAAACATCTGATGGGAACCCTGTTGTATCCAGACCTAACAAAGCCACACCTGGTCATGTTGTACTAAAACGGAATGAATTTAGAAGATGCTGTGACATGCACTAGAGGAAAGCTCATCCCTCCTGGTTACACACCATACCCGTTCAGAAAGAATACAGATGAATCTCTTCTCAACCAGTTGAGGTCCATTGTTGAGACCTTCAGAAGCCACGTTAAGGATCCACAACAAGGAGTTGATTTCACCAAACATCTTTATATTCCGGAGTGGATCCTGTAACTAAACAAGTATGACATGACTGTGCAGATCATAATCACTTGCTAAAGAGAATTGCCCAGCATGTAACAATGATTGTTTATACTTCATCTGACTACGAGGCATTTCCTTATGTTCTGACTGACCTATTAAGTGGTTTAAACCATGCTACCAGGCGCCAAAGTGTAAGGATGCCATCCTATCATGTTGTATGGTCACTTGAGAGGCACGGCAAAGCTCAATGAGGTAAATTTATCCGTGTCATAGCAGAATGGCACGAATCCTCGGATAGCCGTGTTATCAGCCAACTTCAAAGATGCTGATATAACTATGCGAGGCTGAATTTCATTTTAGAGAAGTGGATATCATGGTATACTGAATGGTATACTGTTTATGGTCTCGCAGGTATAGCACTTAATTATCTAAAATGTTATTTGGCCAAAGTGGATTCCCCCAGGGATCCATTTTAGGCCCATTGTTCTTCATTTTATATGTTAACGATCTTCCCAAAAGCATAAGAGCTGCAGAATGTTTACTCTTCGCTGATGATACTAGTACTTTTTAATCAAAACTGCAATTATAAAACTCCTATGGAATACTTAAAGGAGCTGTATCACGAAAATTACAAAATGCCCATTAAATTAAGAGAAACATAAAAATAACCGCTTAAAACTTTAAAGGAAGGTTAAAATAACATAACAGAAACAACAGATGCCACGGATGGCCAAAAATGGGAACGGATTGAAATTAGAGTTTTTTGAAAACTGTTCAGCCTAACAGCTTTTCAAAGTTGATCCCTGCTGCTTGCAACTTCAAAAATAATGCTCGGGAGACATATTTGTTTGTCTCGGATCTCTGATTTTGTAATTTACATGTAATTTCTTTGCTTACTTTAAGTTCCATAACGATCGAGGGAGAGTAATTGGCAAAATGAAACAAAATGAACTGGACTGCCGTGACACAGCCCCTTTAAACGATGAAATTTGTCATGTTGTGACTTGGTTAAAACCTAACAAGCTGACCATAAACCAAGATTATGATTTTTAGACCTAAACAAAAGAAACCTCTGGCATCAAGTCCTATGAAAATTGATAACACAGTTAGCGAGGAAGTAGAACACATTAAATTTTTAGGTGTTAACATTGATCATATACTTCACATCATTGATCAGCATCTTGCATGGAAAACGCATATTAACTTCGTCTGCACAAAAATTTCAAAAACAATAGGAATGTTGTATAAAGCATGGTTCTATGTAACTAGGAAATCACTTCTCTCACTGTATCTTTCTCTAGTCTATCCATATCTCACATATCACAATGTAGCATGGAGTTCTACATACCCTACGAACATTAATAGAATCTACTTGTTACAGAAAAGAATTGTTCGAGCAATCTGTGCTGCAGATCATAGGGCCCCCGGTAAACCTCTCATTCAAAACTTGGCATTTTTGAAATTTATGGCTTGCTTTCATTCTAAGTCGGATCCTTCGTGTCTCTCTTTTCAAAACTTATTTCAAACTGGAAGTAAAATCCATAATTATTATACTAGTGTCGTCATGCCCGCAGAGCAAGCAAAAAAATTTACAATATTATACCAAGGACTGAAATTGTGGAACTCTTTACCTCACTCAATAATTGTTTCAAACAACAAAAGAACCTTTAAGCGTTTGCTTACGTGTAATTAAAAAACCTAAAGGTTACTCAATAATTCATCCGTAATTTGTTACTAGTTATTAGACAATTAAGTTTTTCTTTATATTTTCTATTCATTTGTAAATTACGCCATTGTATGTTGTTCTTTATTTATTTAAGTATACCTACTTAATAAATCAAATCTAATGTAAAGAGGAAGTCTCAACTTTAGGCCTTCATGGCTTCTTGAGACTTCCTCGCCTTTGAGAGTCTGTATAAATGAAAGATAATATATATATATATATACAAGACCTCTACTTTTACGGGCACGCGGCGGGATGGCAAGGTGTTCGACATATTTCATACAGTGAATTGTCAATCAACCTTTGTGATTTATATAATTGAGTGTCGAATTTGTAGATTACAATATGCGCCTTAATAATCACAGGAACCATATTAAGAAAGGAGTCAACAGGTGCGAACTATAAGAGCACTTTCTTCACAACAGCAGATCTCATGACTTTAGCAAAGACGTCACAATTACGATTATTGAACAAATCAAACGGAGTAACATGACAATTGAACGGAAAAAAGAAATACTTCGAGCTAGAGAAATATTTTGGAAAAGTCGGCTGAACACATTGCAACCGAACGGTCTTAATAAGAGAATGGGCTAGAACTCAGAGTCGAATATACCTTTGTAAAGTATTCAGTACATAAATAACGTTTTAGAACGTAAGTTATAGGGGTCATTCCACTCTACGCCCACACGAATGTAACTAATCTATTAGAACAGTATTACCGGTCGCAACTAATCAAGTAACGAACACTTCTTTATTACGTCACAATAAGAGATCATTAATTGATTAATGAACCCAATGTAAAGACCCCTGATGAAGGCAGACGCCGAAACGCGTTGGGTCTGAATAAAGTTTTTATTTATTGGAAGACGATTCTCTTCTGTGCAAGTTATATACAGCGTTCAACACAAAGCCCCAACAGATCGAAAAAATCAAGAAGGGTTTCTGCCAAATTTTCCGTGAAAACGACTTAAAAATCACAGTCGAAGCCAACATGACTAAAGTCAATTTTTTAGATGTCACCCTTGACCTCCAATCTGGCAAGCATTACCCCTACACAAAAGAAGGAAACATCCCACTCTATGTTCACAAGAAATCCAATCATCCGCCATCCATCCTAAAAAATATCCCGGAATCCATAAACAAGCGCCTCTCAGAAATTTCTTCCGACAAGGAATCCTTTGAAAAAGCTAAAGGTACTTACCAAGATGCCCTCAACAAGAGCGGCTACAATTACAATCTCACCTACAGAAAACCTTCCCCAGACACCAAACACCGCAAGAATAGGCCCAGAAACATCACCTGGTTCAATCCTCTGTACAGCCAAAATGTCAAAACCAAAGTTGGAAAGTGTTTCCTCACCTTAATCGACAAACACTTTCCCAAATCAAATCCTCTGAACAAAATTCTCAACCGGAACACTCTCAAACTTAGCTATAGCTGCATGAACAACGTAAAAGCCATTATCTCGAACCAAAGTAAAGCCGTCATTAGCAGGTCATCAAACTTACCAGTTCAAACTATCAACACTTGCAACTGCCTCGACAAAAGGTCCTGCCCTATGGACGGAAATTGCAATGAGCGGAATACCATATACCAAGCAGAAGTCACGACATCGAACTCAAAGCAAGCTTACATTGGTCTTTGTGACATATCATTCAAATCGCGTTACAGAAACCACACTTGCTCCTTTAGAAATGAACGTTATAGAAATTCCACTAAGCTAAGCAAGTATGTATGGGGCTTGAAAGACAAGAAAACTGACTACCAAATTAGATGGCGGAGTATTAGACATGCAAGATCCTATTCAAATGTAACGAAGAAGTGTAATTTATGTCTGTGGGAGAAGTACTATATAATATTGTA